AGCCACCGCACCCGGCCCTAAGTAAGCTTTTTCTTTTTTCACTTGCGGTCTCACTCTGTTACCCAGACTGGAGTGCAGTGACACAAACACAGCTCACTGAAGCCTTGACCTCCTGGGCTCAAGTAATCCTCCCACATCAGCCTCCCAAGCAGCTAGAGCTGCAGGTGCACACCATCGTGCCCAGCTAATTTTTAAAAAATTATTTTGTAGAGATAGGGTCTTGCTATGTTGCATAGGCTGGTCTAGAACTCCTGAGCTCAAGCAATCCTCCCATCTCAGCCTCCTAAATCGTTGAGATTACAGTAGCCGGCCACCACACCTGGCCTATAATTAAGTTTTAATGTTATAGTATATCCACGCATGTGGATTGAGACTGAAGTAGAAATTAAAACCCCAAAATAATCATAGATACTGATTGAACTTTGAGTGTTCTCCATTTTTATGTAGATAGTGTATCTTTATTTATATGAACTGTAGTGCATCATGTTAAATGGAAATATGATATTCTTCTTGTGGTTTAGAAGCCACAAGGTAAAAGTATTTGTATGGATGCTAAGTATCCAGAGTGAACTGTGCTAGAAGTCAACATGACCCTGCTCTTCTAAGCTATCCCCTGGGCCACAAGCTTGGAAGCCTGAAAACTGCATTTCCCAGACTCCCCTGCTAGCATGGATCAAGTGTAGTTTCTGCAAATCAGAGGAACTTGCACACAATTTGGAAGGCATGAGGGAAGGAAAAGCATTTTTTCTTTTGTCATTGTGGTATAATACATACATATTTTGATCTTTTTCCTATTTCTTGGCATACTGCTCCTAAAACTCTTGGAATTTCTAAAGTGATTCGTGTCTTTTTGTAAAGTAATGAGAAGACTGATGGCTGGGAGGTGGGGAGACTCTTGGGTAGCCTCAGGATGTGGGCAGGTTGCCAGGGGTACCACTACATGATTAGAGGTTTGGAACTTTTAGCCTCACCCAGACTTCCCAGGAGGGGAGAGGGACTAAAGGTTGAGTTAATCACTAATAGTCAATGATTTAATCGATCATACCTATATAATGAAGCCTTCATAAACGCCCAAAAGGACAGGGTTTACAGAGCTTCTAGGTTGCTGAATATGTGGAGGTGCTGGGAGGGTGGTGTGATGGAAGCTCCACATCCCTTTCCACATGCCTTGTCCTATGCATCGCTTCCACCTGGCTGTTCCTGAGTTGTATCCTTTTATAATCAACCAGTAATCTAGTAAGTAAACAGTTTTCCTGAATTCTGTGAGCCATCCTAGCAGAAGATCAAACCCAAGGAGAAGGCTGTGGGGACCAGACCACTGACTTATAGCTGGTTGGTGAGAAGTATAAGCAAAAACCTGGACTTGCAATTGGCATCTTGAATGGGTGCAGTATTGTGGGACTGATACCTTAACTCATGGAATCTGATGCTATCTTCAGGTAGACAGTGTTAGACTGACTGACATTTTTGTACATCCAGTTGGAGTCCACAGAGAATTGGAGAATTGCTTAGTGTGGGGAAAAACTCATATAACTGGAGTCAGAAGTTGTATAGAGCCATTTCTGCATTGCTATAAAGGAATTATAGCAATTTATAAAGAAAAGAAGTTTAATTAGCTCATGGTTCTGCAGACAATAGAGAAGGTGCCAGCATCTGCTCAGCTTCTGGTGAGAGCCTGAGGTAATTCATAATCATGATGGTAGGTGAAGTGGGAGTAGACATGTCATATGGTGAGAGGAGCAAGAGAGCAGGGAGAGGTGTCATATACTTTTGTTTATTTATATTTTAAATTTTATTTATTTATTTACTTATTGTGATAGGGTCTGGCTCTATTGCCCGGGTTGGAGTGCAATGGCGTGATCTCAGCTCACTGCAACCTCCACCTCCCAGGTTCAAGCCATCCTTCCTCAGCTTCCTGAATAGCTGAGACTACAGGTGCGTGCCACCACACCCAGCTAATTTTTGTATATTTTTTATACAGATGGATTTCTTCATGTTGCCAAGGCTGGTCTTAAATTCCTAAGCTCATATGATTAACCTGCCTTGGCCTCCAAAACTGCTGGGATTACAGGCATGAGCTACCATGCCTGGATACATACTTTTAAATAATCAGATCTCATGAAGTGCTCACTCACTAACATAAGGAGAGCACCAAGCCATTCATGAGGGACACATTCCTATGACCCAAACGCCTTCCCTCAGGTGCCACCTCCAACAATGGGGATTACATTTCAATATGAGATTTGGAGGGAACAAAGATCCAAACCATATCATTTCACCCATGACTCCTCAAATTGCATGTCTTTCTCACACTACAAAATACAATCATCCCCTACCAATAGTCCCCAAAAGTCTTAACTCATTCCAGCATCAAGTCCAAAGTCCTAAGTCTCTCCTGAAACTTATCTCCTTCCACTTATGAGCCTGTAAAAATCAAAATAAGTCATTTACTCCCAAGATACAATGGGAGTATAGGCATTAGGTATACATTACAATTCCAAAAGGGAGAAATTAACCAAAAGGAAACGTCAGTAGGCCCCATTCCAAGTCTAAATCCTAGCAGAGCAGTCATTAAATCTTAAAGCTCCAAAATACTCTCCCTTGACTATATGTCCCACATCCAGGGCACAATAGTATAGTGGATAGGCTCCCAAGGCCTTGGGTAGCTCTTCTCCTGTGGCTTTGCAGGCTGAAGCCTCTGTGGCTTATCCCGCTGGTTGGAGTTGGGTGTCTGAGGTGCAGGGTGCAAGCTGCCTATAAATCTACCATTCTGGGATCTGGAGGGCAGTGGCCCATTTCTTATAGCTCCACTAGGCAGTGCCCCAGTGGGGACTCTCTGTGGAGACCCCAACCCCACATTTCCCCTTGGCATTGCCCTAATAGAGGTTCTCTGTGAGGACTCTGCCCCTATGGCAGTGTTCTGCCTGGGCACCCAGGCTTTCTCACAAATCTAAGTGGGAGCTTCCAAGCCTCCTTCACTCTTGCATTCTATGTGTCGATAATACCACATGGAAGCCACCAAGGCTTATGGCTTACATCCTCTGGACAGACAGCCTAAGCTGTATCTGGGTTCCTTTGAGCCACAGCTGGAGCTGTAGTAGCCAGGATCCAGTGAGCAGTGTCCTGAGGCTAAGTAGGACAGTGATACCCAGTGCCTGGCCCCCTAAACCATTCTTTCCTCCTAGGCCTGTGAGCCTGTGATGATAGGGGCTGTCTCCAACAATTCTGAGGTTGCCTTTTAGGCCTTTTTCCCATGGTCTTGAATATAAGAACTTGGCTCCCTTTTAGTCATGCTAGTTTCTCTAGCAAGTAGTTGCTCCATACCCTGCTGGGATTCTTTCTGTGCCACGTGGCCAGGCTGCAAATTTGCTGAACTTTTATGCTCCACTTCCGTTTTGAATGTAAGTTCCAACTTTAAGTCATTCCTTTGCTCCTCCCATATCTGATCATAGGTTGTTACAAGGAGTCAGGCCACATCTTGAATGCTTTCCTACTTAGAAATTTCTTCTGCCAGAGACCCTAAATTACCACTCTTAAGTTCAAACTTCCACAGATCCTTGGTACATGAACACAATGCAGGAGTTCTTTGCAAGGGTGTAACATGAGTGACATTTATTCCAGTTCCCAATAATTTTCTCATTTCCAACTGAGACTTTACTAGGCTGGCCTTCACCGTCCATATTTCTATCAGTATTTTGGTCACAACCATTTAACCAGTCTCTAAGGAAGTTCCAAACTTTCATTTTTTTTTTTTTTTTTTTGAGACAGGGTCTTGCTGTGCCATCCAGGCTGTAGTGTAGTGGCATGATCATGGCTCACTGCAACCTTGACCTCCCAGCTCAAGTGACCTTCCCACCTCAGCCTCCTGGGTAGCTGGTACTGCAGGTCCATGCTACCATGCCTGGCTAATTTTTAATTTTTTTGTAGAGACAAGGTCTCACTATTGCCCAGGCTGGTCTCAAACTCCTGGTCTCAAGCAATCCTCCTGCCTCGGCCTCTTAAGCGCTGGGATTACAGTTGAGGGCCACTGCTCCTGGTCCTGTCTTCTTCTGAGCCCTCCAAACTCTTCCATTCTCTGCCTGGTACCCAGTTCCAAAGTTGCTTCCACATTTTCAGGTATCTTTATAGCAATGCCTCACTCCTCAGTAACAATTTTCTGTGTCAAGCCGTTCTTGCACTGCTATAAAGAAATACCTAAGACTGGGTGATTTATAAAGGAAAGAGGTTTAATTGGCTTACAGGTATGCAGACTATACACGAAGCATGGTATCAGCATCTGCTCAGCTTCTGGTGAGGGCCTCAGGAAGCTAACAATAATGGTGGTAGGTGAAATGGGAGCAGACATGTCACATGGTGAGTTGGAGCAAGAGAGAGTGGAGCGGTACCACACACTTTAAACATCATGATCATGCAATAACTCATTATCAGAACTGCGCCATTTATGAGGGACCCATCCCCATGATGAAAACACCTCCCCCAAGCCCCACCTCCAATGTGGGGATTACATTCCAGCATGAGACTTGGAGAGGAGAATCATCCAAACTATATCAGAAGTGAAGTATTAAGAGTGGTATGAGTATAGAAAGAAGAAACAGGTTTGTTTGTTTTTTACCCCCCAACAGTTCTCTAGCACTAGCAGATGGATAAAAGGGCAGACAACAGATGAGACAGGAGCTTCAGGAGAGTTCCTGCAAATTCTCCACTTTGATGCTGCACGAGGTGGCTTCTCTGTGATTTCTGAACTTCTGGATTTATTGAAAGCCAGCAGCAGTCTTTTCTGACTCTTCTCTCCCCTGGTCCCTTCAAGCTGTTTTGTAAGCTCTTACTCCCTGTGTTAAATCTCTTCTTGTTTGAAATACCTAGAGTAGATTCTACTCTCCTGACTGACCCCTGACTAAACAACGAAGTTTAGTAAAGTGGTAGGGACTCAATAAGAGCTAGCTATTACTCAGGTCTATGGGAATAGGAAAAGGGAGAAGCATGTCTATTTACTTTCTTACCTCAGCATATTTTCTTTTCTCATTTTCCAGTTGTGAAAGTAGGGCCTCTTGTTGCTGAATTCTGGCTTGTTGCTGAGAACAGGTCATTTCCAGGAGATTTTCTTTATCTTTTAAGGTTCTCACTTGCCTGTGTAACTCATCTACATTCTGATATAGGAGTTTCCTAAGGGCAATTAATGTACATTAAATCACACTATGAATTGTAAATAAAACTAGCCCTAAAAATTGTATGGCATCAAAAGGGTTTTTTTTTTTTTTTTTTTTGGTTCAATGAAGTAGGGTACGTGTCTATAAGCTAAAGGGACACACACAGGGAACCTCTTTTGTGATAGAAGCTTTCCTATGAGGAAAAAGTAATTGTTCTTATTTCAGAGATAAGGACTTTGTGGTACAGAGAACAGTTAAGACAGGGTAGAGGTAGGGCTTGAATCCTGAATCCCATATTCTTTCTTCCTTACTAGTTTACTAGCTTAGCCCTTTATCTTCTGGGTTCAGGAAAATGTTAGTTACAAGCACTATTGATACTAATTAGCACACATTAACACTGCTCTAAATGAATCATAAATGAGCCTGCATTTTATGAATTTACCATTTTCCAAAAGAGGGTAAAGGAACTCAGAGAATTTTACCCCAAATACGGTACCCTGGTATACTAAATAGTTTGAATGAAAGGCCCTTAGAGATCAACAGATGCTAGAAGAGGCTTTTCTCTAATCGGCATGAAGACTGGACTTACCAAGGAGAACAATTACTTCCCATCCTCTCCCTGAAATCTCATTATTTATCTATCTTCAGAAAAGAAGATTGAGGAATGTAACAACACCTCCACAGACCTTTTCACAAGATAATGGCTGTCTCTTAAACTAATTCAAATTCCAAGGAGAATAATTTATGCATTAATTTCTGTCTCCAGGGTCCCTTCATTCTCCTGAATGAGTTACTGCCCCTTGGAATTGTCTACATTCCCCGTCTCCCTCTCCCTGGAAACAGGTATATAAGCTTCTGTAACACAGTCGGATATTGGGTCATCACACTTGATTTTCCCCAGCCCACGTTAACAAAATTGTGTTTGCTTTTTCTCCTATTAATCTGCCTTTTGTCAGGTGACTTTTCAGGAAACTTTTAGAAGGGGATGGGAAATTTCCCTCCACCCCTACAAGGGCCATTAGCACTTTGCTCTTTCAGTCTCATTATGAACCCAGCCCTACTGTCCCATAGGCATTACATTTACAGTTTTTTGAACAAATGTAGAAATGTACCCTCTCAGTCTTAAAACTTTAAATTTATATCTGAGTTCTTCCTTCAAGAGACTGATGCTCAGGCAAGAAACTAAAATTCACCAGATCATAGCATGCAGATGCCTCATTCCTCATGATGGGTTCCATATCCCTCACTAATTCCTGTTTTACATTTCTTCCCTGTTATAACCCCACAAATTGGTCAGGGAGATAGATTTGAGACTGATCTCCCATTCTCCTCAACTGTGGCACCCTAAAAAAGCCTTCTTACCTGACAAAACTCACTGTCTCAGTAATTTACTTTCTGTGCACTGAGCAATGGGACCTAGACCAAATCTCAGGTGTTCCGGTAATAGATTACAGTTTGTGGAAAGAGTTTTCTGAGGATTTCAGACCAAGGTTCTCCAGACTTGGGAGATTCATCATAAAGACTATGATGACAATAATGAACTGGTACTGGCGGGCAAAAGTCTTACCTGCATGCTAGGGCAGTAAAATACGGGCATTAGACAAATAAGTTTGCTTTCTCTAACTTCAGTATTCTGAGAAATCAATAGGTATTGGAGGATGATTATATTTGAGACATGGGCTCACATCTCTTCACCTCTAGTTCTTCTCCTTATGCATCTTGGATGTAAGTGCAGACTGCTATAGCTAATTTTCTACCATTCACATCCACCTCTACACCAGTATCCTCTCTATCATCTCTCCTTCATCTAATTCACTGTATACCTTCTATTATAGTCTACTTTTTTTTTGTTCCATTCTCAATTTCCAGACTAAAAGATAAGCCTTTGAACTAAAAGAGAAGTTTTGATCCACTGAAACTAAAAACATTTGAGTTATCGGCAGTAAAATTTGAGACTGAAAACTAGAATTGAAAAGCAGAAAGTTGGCTGGGCATGGTGGCTCACACCTATAATCCCAGGACTTTGGAAGGCCAAGGTGGGAGGATTGTTTGAGCCCAAAAGTTCAGGAGCAGCCTGATCAACATAGTGAGAACTCATCTCTATAAAAAACTTTTAAAAAATTAGACAGGCATGGTGGCATGTGCCTGTAGTCCCAGCTACTTGGGAGGCTGAGATGGGAGAAGTGCTTGAGCCTGGGAGGTCAAGGCTGCAGCGAGCTATGATTGCACCACTGCACTGCAGCCTGGGTGACAGAGTGAGACCCCATCTCTACAAAAAGAAAAAAAGAAAAGCAGGAAGTCAAAATTAAAAGAGCAACTCATGAATATGTTAGAAGTTAATTGACAGAGAGTTTGAAAATCAGGTCTGCCAATGAACAAAATTAAGAAATTGTTGTACTGATAAGATTCCCTGTACTTTCTGTAGCCTGAGCCTCTTTTAGTAGTCAGAGTGTTCCTTCTAAATTGCAGACTAATGATATAACTTCCTCGGCTTAAAATCCTTTTGTGGCTCTTTATATTTTTATATATACTTATTTTTATATATACTCTTATTTTTATATATACTTTTTCTGTTCTTTGATTCAGGAACTCCATTACTCTTAAGGTAAATTCCAAACTATTCACAATGGCTTGATAGATTCTGCATGAGAGCTGGGCACTGTGGCTCATGAGAGCTGGGCACTGTGACTCATGAGGAGCTGTGGCACTATGGCTCACACCTCCTAACACTTTTGGAGGCTGAGGCTGGAGGATCACCTGAGGCCAGGAGTTCTAGAACAACTTGAGCAACATAGAGAGATCCTATCTGTAAATTTTTTTTTTTAATTAGCTGGGCATGTTGGGCATGGCTATAGTCCTAGCTACTCAGGAAGTGAAGGCAGGAGGATCATCTGAGCCCAAGAATTCAGGGCTGCAGTGAGTCATGATTCTGCCACTGTATTATAGCTTGGGGGACAGAGCAAGATCCCTGTCTCTCTAAAAAAAAAAACAACAAACAACAACAACAAAAAAACTAAGGTTCTGCATGAGCTAGGCCTACATCACCTTCCTCATCTCATTTTCTCATCATTGTCCCTAACCTCATTTTCTTTCAACCAATGAACTGTTTCACTTCCTCAAAGTCGTCCTCCACACTATTCTCTATTTAGCTTCCTGATACCAACTACTTCATTCTCAGCTTAAATCAGTTTCTTTGAGGAGTCTTTCCTAAGCTCCCTCACTTCATAGGTATCCATGTTATGTGCTATCATGGCAACCTAAACCTCCTTTAGTATAACACTTACCACACTTCATCATACTTCATTGCAGTTGCAAAATCTTATGTATATAGATATTTATTATAGCTTTATAATAGCAAAAAAGTCTGAAAGATATAAGTATTACATAAAGTATGATATATCTATGTAACAGAATGTCATACAACTGTTTAAACTGATATTATGAAACCATAAATCAATTAGCAAAAGAGAGATGAGAAATTCTAAATATTTGGGATAAACAAAACACTTCTAAATAATACATGAGTCAAAGAGGAGGTCTCAATAAATTAAAAATATTTTGAACTAAATGAAAATGAAATACAACTTACAAAATTTATAGGCTACAACAACGCAGAAAACTTGTAGTATTACATGCATATATTATAAAGGGAGAAAAATTAAAATCAATAATCTAAGCTTCCACCTTAGGAAACGAGAGAAAGAAGAACATTATCAGCCTAAAGCAAGCAGAAGCAAAGAAATAATAAAAATGAGAGTATTAATCAATGGGATTGAAAACAGGAAAACAATAGAGAAAAAAAATGCAACCAAAAGTTCGTTCTTGGAAAAGATGAATAAAACAGATAAACCTCTAGCCAGGCTAAGTAATAAATGGAGAAGACAAACATTAATAATATAAAAAATGGGACCAGGTGCAATGGTACATCTATAATCCCAGCACTTTGGGAGGCTGAGGCAGAAGTATTACTTGAACCCAGGAACTTGAGACCACCCTGGGCAACTCGGCAAAGCCCCATCTCTATTTTATAAATAAGACATTATTTAAAACATACTATCAAAAATGAAAGAGGGGCCACCACTACTAATCCCATGGACATTAAAATGATAACAAAGGAATATTAGGAACAACTCTGTCTACAAATAGGATAACTTACATTATATGTACTGATTCCTTGAAAGACATAAATAGATAATCTAAGTCGGCCTATATCTGTTAAAGAAATTGAATCAATAATTAATTGATTCCAGAAAATAAAGCACTAGGCCCAGATGATTTCACTGGTGAATTCTACCAAACATTAAGAAAGAAATGATACCAATTCTCTGCAATCTCTTCCAACAAAAAAATTGAAGTAGAGGGGACACTTCCTAAGCAATTTTTTGAGACAAACATTACCCTAATACCAAAACCAGATACAGATATTATGTGACAGGAAAACCACAGAGCAATATCTTCATGAACAGGTCCAAACTCGGTATGGTCTGTTAAGTTCTATGTGACCTAGGTCTAGCTTACCTTTCCAGCCTCAATTTCTTGCCACTTTCCTTGTCTCTAAATATTTTATTCTGGCCAAATGAACTTTTTTCACCTTACTGAAGAAGATTATGATGGTAATGACGACAATATTAACAACAATAACAGCAAATATTACAATAACAATAACACTTTTTTTTTCTTTTTTTGAGATGGAGTCTCGCCTGTTTTGCCTGCTCTGTCATCCAGGTTAGAGTGCAGGGGTGTGATCTTGGCTTACTGCAACCTCTGCCTCCTGGGTTTAAGCAATTCTCCTGCCTCAGCCTCCTGAGCAGCTGGGATTACATGTGTCTGCCCTCATGCTTGGCTAACTTTTGTATTTTTAATGGAAATGAGGTTTCATCATGTTGGCCAGGGTAGTGTCAAACTCCTGATCTCAAGTGATCTGCCTGCCTTGGCCTCCTAAAGTGCTGGGATTACAGATGTGAGCCACTGGTACCAGGCCTAATTTAAATTAAATAAAATTATAGTTTAAAAACTATTTTTTTTTGAGACTGAGTTTCACTCTTGTTGTCCAGGCTGGAGTGCAATGGCATGATCTTGGCTCACTGCAACCTCCGCCTCCCGGGTTCAAGCGATTCGCCTGCCTCGGCCTCCTGAGTAGCTGGGATTACAGGCATGTGCCACCACGCTTGGCTAATTTTGTATTTTTAGTAGAGACAGGGTTTCTCCAGGTTGGTCAGGCTGGTCTCGACTCCCGACCTCAAGTGATCTGCCCGCCTTGGCCTTCCAAAGGGCTGGTATTACAGGCATAAGCCGCCTCACCCAGTCAAAAAGTACATTTTTAATAGAGTGGCTTTGTAACATTTTGACTTGCCTAGTTTCCCAGAATTCCTTCCATGTAAGTTTCTGGTTATAGTGGGCCACAGGAGATATATTTGTGCAAGATTTAGAGAACAGAATTGAAACATTTTGGTTTTTACAGGTGAAGAGTTGGAGTAGGCACTTTTATAGCTTATGAACACTGCCAGATATCTGCTGCTCACTTTGGCATGACACGACAGCAAGGCCTACAACTGCTTCACCTTCCCTTGAATCCTCCTTCACCTTTCCCATCACCTGGGCTAGATGAAGGGTGCCAGTTTCTCCTGTAGGATACCTACTCTTTCTCAGGTTAGAGGCAGCAAGAACTGACATGGGTTCCTGTCCATCCTCATGGTTTCCACCTTGTTGTTGCTCTCCCACTTTACATTCATCTTCACTTCCTCATTGGTTGCCCTGCAGACCTCAATCTCTAGCATAAGATGCAAAGATGACAGTCATGCAGACTGCAGAACCAGCTCCCACAATTGCATAAGACCAAATCCCTGTAATGAGGCTGTTCTTAAATACAGATTCAACGGGTTCTATTTCCTGACAGAAGTGCTTATGTCAGGATATATGTCACCGAAGAAACGGGGAAAAATCTAAATGTTTAACAATAAAGGATTTACTAAATAAATTGTGACATATCATTAAAATAATATTCTAGAAAAAATGTAATGTCAGATAAACAGATCATAATATTTTAAGTGAAAAAGCAGATTACAATCTAACTATCTAAATCAGGGTCACTTTCTTCCAGATTATGAAACAACATAAATTATAGAGTCTCTTTTGGTGGGAGAATTTCCCTGTATATTTTATTTTCCTACACTTAGTTAAATAGTGCATACATATTTTTTCTTAGCAAATCTTCACAGAAGATATACAGGACTGGCATTACAATTCCCACTTTAGAGATAAGGAGGATAGTCTGCCATCCTGCTAGAAGTGGCAGTTGAGACAAGTATTTTTCTGCAGCAGCTCACTGAGTGAATTCATTGTTTATTTATACATAAATTAATTCATTCACTTAATCAAACATTCATTCATTCAATAAGTATTTATTATCTATTGAGTGCCTTACGCTAGAGTTTTTAACAAGAGCTGAACATAAGTTTCTGAGCTACAGAGTATATGTGAACACCAGCACATCTTTTTATTGGCTAAAACCATATTTTTTCTTAAAGTATGCATGGATCACAATGGAATATTATTCAGCCATAAAAAAGAATGAAATCCTGTCATGGCTTATAGCAACATGGATAGAACTGGAAGTTCTTATGTTAAGCGAGATAAGCCAAGCACAGAAAGCAAATATTGCATGTTTTCACTCATATATGGGAATAAAAAAAGTTGATCTCATGGAAGTAGAGAGTAGAATGACAGTTACCAGAGGCTGGGAAGCAGTGAAATGAAGAGAGGTTGGTTAATGGATACACACATACAGTTGGATAAAAGGAATATGTTTTAGTGTAACACAGTAGGATGACTATAGTTAACAATAATTTATTGTATATTTCAAAAGCACTTAAAGAGAAGCTTTGAAATGTTCCCAACACAAAGAAATGATAAATGTTTGATGTGATGGCTATCCCAAATACTGTTATTTGATCATTATACATTGTATATATGTATAAAAATACTATATGTATCTTGTAAATATGTATAATTATGTATCAATTAAAAATAAAGAAAAAAACATATGTCAACCACTCTCAGTAGTACATGAATAAGAAGCAAAGCATCAGTTACTGAAGTTTAGGGCATCCAAGGAGATGCTTTAAGTAAGAATCATCATCATCATCATCATCATTTTAGAAAACAAATATATGACAGCTCTTAATTGGTGGCAGTTTGTGGATGGTTAAGACACATATTAAGTACCTGTAACTGTTTTGAAGCAAATCAGCTTATAAATATGAGGGGTCTTCAAAAAGTTAATGGAAAATGAATATTATGAAAAAACTATGCGTGGATTTTAAAAGTTTTTGCACCAAAATAAATTTGTACTGACCTGTCATAACATGTCTGAAGACGATTCAGTTTGAGGCACTAAGGATAAGGTATCAGTTTGAAAAGAGCTACTATCAGAGAAACATGAATTCTGCTAAAACTGAAGCAAGAACAAACATTAAATATATGATGAAATTAAGGTGGAAGAATGGTGAAGTCATTGATGCTTTAATGAAAAGTTTAAAGAGACAATACCCCCAAGAAATCAGCAGTTTACAAATGGATAAGTCATTTTAAGAAGAGATGAGATGAGGCCCGGCACGGTGGCTCATGCCTGTAATCCCAGCACTTTGGGAGGCCGAGGCGGATGGATCACGAGGTCAAGAGATCGAGACCATCCTGGTCAACATGGTGAAACCCCGTCTCTACTAAAAATACAAAAAATAGCCGGGTATGGTGGCACGTGCCTGTGGTCCCAGCTACTCGGGAGGCTGAGGTGGAAGAATTGCTTGAACCCAGGAGGCAGAGGTTGCAGTGAGCCGAGATTGTGCCACTGCACTCCAGCCTGGCGACAGAGCAAGACTCCATCTCAAAAAAAAAAAAAAAAAAGAAGAGATGAGATGATGTTGAAGATGAAGCCCACAGTGCCAGACCATCCACATCAATTTACAAGGAAAAAAATTAATCTTTTTTTGTGCCCTAATTGAAGAAGACTGATGATCAGCAGCAAAACAATAGCCAACATCATAGACATCTCAATTGATTCAACTTACCACAATTCAGACAGATAGAGTTTAGCAAATTTTCCACTTGATAGGTGCCAAAACTGTTGCATTCAGGTTAGCTACAGACAGGAGCAAAGCTCTCAGTGGGAATTTTAAACTAGTGGGATGAAGCATTTCTTTGAAGAATTATAACAGGAGAAGAAACATGGCTTTACCAATGATACTGAAGACAAAGCACAATCAAAGAAACAGCTGCTAAGAGGAGGAAGTGGTCCAATCGCAGCAAAAGTGGATGAGTCAAGAGCAGAGGTCATGCCAACAGTTTTTTGTGATGCTCAAAGGATTTTGCTTATTGACTTTCTAGAAGGCCAAATGATAACATGTTTATTATGAGAGTGTTTTGAGAAAAGTAACCAAAGCTTTATTTTTAAAAAATGCCTAGGAAAGCTTCACCAGAGTCCTTCTCTACCGTGACAATGCTCCTGCTCATTCTTCTCATCAAATGAACAACTTTCCAAGAGTTTTGATGGGAAATTATTAGGCATCCACCTTACAGTCCTGATTTGGCTCCTTCTGACTTTTTTTTGTTTCCCAATCTTAAAAAATATTTAAAAGGCACTCATTTCTCTTTGCTTAATAATGTGCAAAAGACTGCAATGACATTGTTAAATTCTCAGGATTCTCACTCAGTTCTTTAGGAATGGACTAAATGGCTTGCATCCTCACTTACAAAAGTGCCTGGACTTTGATGGAGCTTAGGTTGAGAAAGCGTTTTTTTTTTTTTTTTTTTTTTTTTTTTTTTTTTTGACAGGGTCTCATTCTGCCACCCAGGCTGGAGTGCAGTGTTGCAATCACGGTTCACTGTAGCCTCAAACTCCTGGGCTCAAGTGATCTCTTGCCTCAGCCTCTTGAGTAGCTAGGACTACAGGACTGTACCGTCATGCCTGGATAATTTTTTTTCCCTCCTACCTCAGCATCCCAAAGTGCTGGGATTACTCTGCATCAGGCCAACATATTTTTTTATTTTGTCTTTCAATTCAATTTTTCCACAAACTTTCTGAAGTCTCTTTGTATAACACATCAACTTCATTGTAGTCTAAAGTTTGTCAGCCTACATGTCAGAGCAAATTCCAGAGTGTTTCATAGCCAAGTCAGTTAAGAATATTTACTGTTACATTAGGTGTGTCCCGGAACCAGAAGAAATAATCTCTGCCTTTAAGAATCTCACATTTTAGTGCCAAAGGTAAACTAGAAAATAATTAGACGCCAGGCTCAGTGGCTCACACCTGTAATCCTAGCACTTTGGGAGGCCGAGGTGGGCAGATCACAAGGTCAGGAGTTTGAGACCAGCCGGGCCACCGTGGTGAAACCCTGTCTATCCTAAAAAACTACAAAAAATTAGCCAGGCATATGGTGCGTGCCTGTAATCCCAGCTACTCAGGAGGCTGAGGCAGGAGAATTGCTTGAACCTGGGAGGCAGATGTTACAGTGAGCTGAGATCGCACCACTGTACTCCAGCCTGGGCAACAGAGCAAGACTCCATCTCAAAAACAACAACACCACAAAACAACAACAAAATAAAACAAACAAACAAGAAAATAAATAATTAGAATACAGTGTGATAGGTGTAATACATCAGGAATTGTGTGGTTGAGTTCACTTCAGTGGGGACAGAACAGAAATACTCTCTGACAGTTTGTTAGAGTAAATTGATACTGCTGATTAACTCAATCATGGCTAAACCCACAGGAAACTGAGATCTGTGCTCCTCTTACCCCTTCTGTTGTTCTTCTTGATATTGTTGCTTTACTTTAGCTTCATTTTCTGTTGCTTCTTTTATCTTTTCCTCTAGCTGCTGCTTCTCTGAAATACAAGTGTCTGTGAGACAGACTTTATGAGCATGTTCTAATTTCTGCTGCAGGTCCAAAATCTTGGAAGGAAAAAAGTTTACAAGTAAAGCATTAAGAAGAGTGTGACTTTTTTCAAATTAGCAGAAGAACATACAAATAGCAAACATAGCAGTGCTAACGTATTAATCTGACCTGAAGTAAAGAGAGTAGCTAGATTTAATTTTAAAATAAATTGTTTAATTTTGCAGTATGTAACTCATTCATATAATTCAATATGTGTGTATAAAAGAAACTACAGGCCAGACATAGTGGCTCATGCCTGTAATCGCAGACCTGTGGGAAGCTGAGCTGGGTGGATCACTTGAGTCTCAGGCATTCAAGACCAGCCTGGGCAACATGGTGAAACCCTATCCCTACAAAAAAATATAAAAATTAGCTGGGCATGGTGGTGAGTGCCTATAGTCCCAGCTACGCAGGAATCTGAGGTGAGAGGAATCAACTGAGCCCAGGGAAGCTGAGGCTACAGTGAGCTATGATTGTGCCACTGCACTCCAGCCTTGGTGACAGAGTGAGACCCTGTCTCAAAAAAAAAAAAAAAAAAGGAGCTATATAGTGAAAAGTCTCCTTCCCATCCCTGTTCTATGTCCTCCAAATTTTCCTCCACCAAATAGATGACTGTGGTTTTTAATTTCTTGTGTACCCTTTCAGAGATTTATTTATGCATATATAAACACATATAATTATCCCACATACATATAAATTTTATACAAATGATGACATACTATACTATATGTAATTAGGCACCTTGCTTTTTTATAGCAATAAGCATTTGGTCATTTTTCCATATTGTATGCACATATTGAGTTGTCTTCTCTTTTATAGTTGCATACCACTCCACTGTAAGGATATACCATAACTTATTTCACCAGTGCCCTACTGGTGAACATTTAAGCTGATTCCAAACTTTTTCTGTTATAAACAATACTATTACAAACAATGTCTGTAGATTAAATTATGAGGTTTGGATTTACTAGGACAAAGGTTATGAGTATTTGTTTGTTGGATAGATAATGCCAAACTGCCTCCACAGGTATTAGACCAATTTATGCTTCCAACAGCACAGCGTGAGTGCACTTAGCTTCTCCACAGTGTGGCTAGATTCACGAATAACACCACAAAACAAAGTAGAAGCCGCTTATAAACCAAGCACCTATTAGCATATTGCTTAGCATCAATAATAGGTTCTTTAATGCTCTGGGAAAAATAAAAATATGATTTGTGAATTTGAAAGAGAGATAGATAGTTATATTTTAGAGTTTATAGGCTAGATTTAAAGTGTCATTTAAGAACATTTTTTCTTGTCTTTTTCATGTAGCAGCAAAAAACCATTACATTTTTGTTAATTTCCTTTAAATGTCTTTTTAGTTATTTTTATAAACCCTTGTGTCACCTTAAATTGTGCCTGGTACATAGTAGGTGCTCAATAAATATTTGTTGAATGAATAGATTTTCAGCAGGGTAGCTGTTATCCCTCTAATGCATTCCTGACCCAACAAGGAATCCTTTACAATGGCTTGGCATCACATGTCCCATGAACATTCAGTGAATGCCAGTGGGTGGCACCCGCTTTCTAAGAGAGGGGGATTTCTGCATCAGTCCCAAGCCCTGGTGCCTAGGTCTCTGCATAGTCCACACAGCATGAGAGAGGTGAAGATTCAGAATGATTCAAGGGCAAAGGCAGTAGGCAGCCAGCCATTTGAGGCCAGCTCTAGTTCCCTGGCACTGTTCTACTTAGTTCTGTCTAGGGAGACTTCTTTTTTTTTTTAAGATCCTATTTTTTTCTTTTCTTTTTTTCTTTTTTTTAAATTGCATTTTAGGTTTTGGGGTACATGTGAAGAACATGCAAGATTGTTGCATAGGTACACACGTGGCAGTGTGATTTGATGCCTTCCTCCCCTTCACCTATATCTGGCATTTCTCCCCATGCTATCTCTCCCCAACTCCCCACCCACTGCTGTTCCTCCCCTGTTCCCACCAACAGACCCCAGTGTGTGATGCTCCCCTCCCTGTGTCCATCTGCTCTCCTTGTTCAACACCCGCCTATGAGTGAGAACATGCGGTATTTCATTTTCTGTTCTTGTGTCAGTTTGCTGAGAATGATGTTCTCCAGGTTCATCCATGTCTCTACAAAGGACACAAACTCATCGTTTTTGATTGCTATATAATATTCCATGGTGTATATGTGCCATATTTTCCCTGTCCATCTATCATCGATGGGCATTTGGGTTGATTCCAGGTCTTTGCTATTGTAAACAGTGCTGCAATGAACATTCGTGTGCATATGTCCTTATAGTAGAACGACTTATAGACCTTTGGATATATACCCAGTAGTGGGATTGCTGGGTCAAATGGAATTTCTATTTCTAGGTCCTTGAGGAATCGCCACACTGTCTTCCACAATGGTTGAACTAATTTACACTCCCACCAACAGTGTAAAAGTGTTCCTAATTCTCCACATCCTCTCCAGCATCTGTCTCCAGATTTTTTAATGATCGCCATTCTAACTGGCGTGAGATGGTATCTCAATGTGGTTTTGATTTGCATCTCTCTAATGACCAGTGATGATGAGCATTTTTTCATATGTTTGTTGGCCTCATGTATGTCTTCTTTTGTAAAGTGTCTGTTCATATCCTTTGCCCACTTTTGAATGAGCTTGTTTTTTTCCTGTAAATCTGTTTGAGTTCTTTGTAAATTCTGGATATCAGCCCTTTGTCAGATGGGTAAACTGCAAAAATTTTTTCCGATTCTGTTGGTTGCAGATTGGGAGACTTCTTACTTAAGGAATGCAGTACTAATTCCACAGACAAAAGCACCACCTCATTGGCTTCTCTGTCAAGGATACATGCTAAACTTTTGAACAATTTAAGAAAGGGAACATTTCCAATACTTTTGAAGCCCCTCTGTGACCCTCTTTGATTATCCCTCTTCCCTCCCCACCAGAGAAAACCAATATCCTGAATTTTATGTTAATCATATCCTTGCTTTTTATTTTTAATAATTTCTCTCTCTCTCTCTCTCTCTCTCTCTATATATATATATATATATATATATGATAGGTTTTTTTGTTTTGTTTTGTTTTTTGAGACAGGGTCTTACTATATCGCCCAGGTGATCACCTGCCTTAGCCTCCAGAGTAGCTGGTACTACAGGCACACACTACTATGCCCAGCTAACTTATTTATTTTTGTAGAGATAGGTTCTCACTATGTTGCTCAGGCTGGTCTTGAACTTTGGGCTGGTCAAGATCCTCCCACCTCATCCTGCCAGAGTGCTGGGATTACAGGTACGAATCACCATGCTAATAGTTTTTATTTTGCACAACTTTGACTTTTTAAAATCTATGGAATCATACTGTATTTTTGGTGACTTTAAAAAATTTATTGTATTGAACTACAATATGTACCTATAGTTCACTCATTTTCATTGTTGCATGCTATTGTTACCAGGGCAGCCCTGATGAAATAACTGGGAAAGTTCTTTTTCTTACTGTTTTTCTTTAGTCCCTTTATGTAAAGGCATAATTGCTTAAAGAAACTGACAGTCTGTAATGGTACCAGAATATATTGACCCCTAATGAGATACAAGAGGAAGATAGGACCTTGCAAATTAGAGCAAATGGAGGACCCCTAGTTGCCTTTAAGTCATTAACATATCATTATAATGCTCAAATTCCCTCCTCTAAAAGAAAATCTCCACTAGTTTGTGTACATGTTGTATGAAGGTGTGTGTTTATACACTGAGCCTGTGCATCTGCAGTCCCACCCTGCACATGCTAACATTCCTCTTCCACCCTGCACCCAGTCCTTAAAAACCCTATGCCTTCTCTTGTTCAGGGAGAAGGAGCCTATCCTATTCCATTCCTGGCCAGTGAGTAAAACCAACCTATCTTCCTTCCTTCCTTTTTCTTTCTTTCCTTTTCTTTTCTCCTTCCTTCCTTTCTTCCTTCCCTCCTTTCCTCCCTCCCTCCTTCCTTTTCTTTTTCTTTTCTTTACTCTCTCCTTCCTTCCTTTCTTTCTTTCTTCCTTCCTTCCTTCCCTCCTTCCCTCCCTCCCTCCCTCCCTCCCTTCCAACAGAGTTTCACACTTGTCACTTAGACTAGAGTGCAATAGCACAATCTCAGCTCACTACAACCTCTGCTTCCAGGGTTCAAGTGCTTCTCCTGCCACAGCCTCCCAAGCTGCTGGGATTAAAGGTACATACCACCACACCTGGCTAATTTTTGTATTCTTTTGCATTATTAGTATTATTTTTATATTATTAGTAAAATGTATAATTTAACCATTTTGTCCAGGCTGGTCTCAAACTCCTGATCTCAGGTGATCCACCCGCCTTGGCCTCCCAAAGTGCTGGGATTACAGGCATGAGCCACTGCACCTGACCATTCTTTCTCTTTTCTTTTTCCTTCCTTCCTTTGTTCCCTCCCTCCCTCCCTTCCTTCTTTCCCTCCTGCCTGCCTGTCTGCCTTGCCATTTTTTCTCTTTTCTCCTTCCTTCTTTCTTTCCTTCCTTCCTTCCTCCCTCCTTCCCTCCTTTCTCTGACTCTTTCGCTGTCTCCTTTTTTTTTTTTTAATAAGTTAATTATAGGGATATGGCTGCTACATAGACAGAACAGGGCTACCCCATAGGCAGAGTAGCCTGAATGCCCTTTCTTTGCCACTGATACAAAGTGAGGGAAAGAGCTCGGCTTACTAGTAATACTACTGTATAAATATACAATTTATTTTTTTGATCTTGTGTCGGGGACATTTGGGTTGTTTCTAGTTTTCTGCTATTCAGAACAATGATACTATGAACATGACTGTATTCCTGTCTTCTGATACGCACATGCAGTATAAGAGATTTTCTTATACCTAGAAGTGTTAAGATGTATGATGCACACATCTTTAAAACATTTATACTAATTATCTCTTCCAAATGAAGTCAATATATATGTGGTCTTCTTGCACCAAATCCTCACCAATAGTTAGTATTGTCTAAGTTTTAAAATCTTGCCAATCTTTACCAATTTTACCAATTGCTTTTTAATGGAATAATATCCATATGGTAAAGTAACATCCACATATACATATGGTGAATAACATACATATCTTAAGTGCACTCAATGAAATGTGACTTGTATAACTACTTCTCAGATCAAGATACAGAATACTTGCAGCACCACAGAGGATTCCCTCGTGCCCCCCTCAGTCAATACCTGTCATAAGAATAATTACTATCTTATCTCCATAGCTTAGTTTTATCTATTCTTGAAATTTATATACATAGAATTATATAGTATGAACGCTTTTGTTCTGGTTTCTTTAACTCAACATTAGATTTTTTAGTTTAATTCAGATTACTGTCATAGATTTTTTGATATTTGCTTCATATTGTATGGTCTGATGAAATTATTATTTTTTAAATTTTATTTTTTGAGACAGAGTCTAGCTCTGTTGCTAGGCGCCAGGCTGGAGTGCAGTGGCACAATCTCGGCTCACTGCAACCTCCGCCTCCCGGGTTCAAGCAATTCTGCCTCAGCCTCCCGAGTAGCTGGGACTACAGGCACATGCCACCACACCCAGCTAATTTTTGTATTTTTAGTAAAGACGAGGTTTCACCATGTTGGTCAGGATGGTCTCGATCTCTTAACCTGGTGATCCGCCTGCCTCGGCCTCCCAAAGTGCTGGGATTACAGGCTTGAGCCACCACGCCCGGCCGAAATTATTTTTTAATCCAATTTAATTCTCAAACTTGCACATCAAAACATACAACTGTTACATACTACTGCCACCTAGTGTTGGGCAGTCTAAAATGAAGGGGCAATATTTCAAAATGGTTCATTTCACAACAGAAATCCCCCTACAAAATTACAAAATATGTTTGATGTGATGAATATGACAATTATCCTGATCTGATCACTATACATTATATGTATTGAAATATACTATGCACCCCATGAACATGTACAATTGTCGATGAAAAAAACAAAATTAAAACAAAATTTACATTAACAGCCAATCCAAATGAGAGAATAATAAGTCTTCTCAAATGTGAAAGTATAAAACAAGTTATATGGGCTCAGTCAGTTCTTTAAGTTCATGTTATAGCTTTAATAAAGCTTACCTTTTTAAGTCCATGAAGATTTTATAAATACACAAAAATTACTGAGATTGTAGGAACAGGTGAAACCAAAACAGAAGAAAACATGGGAGAGTTTTTAAAAAATTAAAATTCTGTCAAGTCTGCATCATATTTATTTCTTAAAATCCTCAGGGAAATAAGATTTCAGTAGTGTATTCAGTGTATGCTATTTATTAAGCATGAGGATAATTACCTTTTCCTCTGCATCAGCAACTTTAGATTTCTCCTGAGCCAGCTTTTCCTGTAGGTTGTTCTGTGATTTAATGCTCTGAGTCTGTTTCAGTACTTCCAACTCCAGTTCCTTGATTTTCTGCTGACAATGCTTGCACTCTGCCATGAGTGAAGAGCACATCTTTGTACTGTCTAATAACTTCTGTTGGGCATGCTTTAGTTCAATCTTTATCTAGAGGTAGAGAATAAATAATAATATAAATAAGTGTGGAATGAATGTGAACTACAATAAGCAGCTTTCACAGGAGTATAGTCCCCTAAAAGCCAACAAACACCAATGTCACATGGCTGAGTACCTCTTTGGAGCTGCCATATGTTAGTAAGAATTTCCAAAGTTTAGTCAGGGGCAGCCAGACAAAGGAATTTTCCCGATTTCTATATATGCACGGTCTAAACATTTTCCATCCTTTCTTCAATCTACTCCAAACTGGTTTTCATCCCCACTACTCCAGTGAAACTTTCCACCAAGGATACTAACTGACCTCTTCATTGCTAAATAAATCCAATGGATAAGTTACCTCTCAGTAGCATTGTGATACCAAACTTTGCTGGTTTTCACTTACTTCTCTGCTGCTCTTTCTTGGTCTCCTTTGTAGACTCTTCCAGTGCTACCCAACACGTAAGTATTACTGAACTCCTCTAGGCCTAGAAAGTGGATGATTTGCTATCCATTTCTATAATATGAAATGCCATTTTATGCCAATAATTACCAAAATGAAATTCCTTGATTCTGCCCATGTCTTCAAAGTCTTTTTTTTTTCCTCTGTCTTCCCAATTTCAGTAAATAATGCCACCATCCAAACTTTTGTACAGGTCAGTAATCCCTGAGTCTTCCTTTTCCACCATGAACCAATGCCAACCATTTAGCACATGCTGTCACTCTATTCCCAAATATACCCTACCCTAATTCATTTGTGTCCTCTTTGCCACCACCATAGTCTAGAGCATCATCTCTAACCTGGGCTATAGCAATTGCCTCTGCACTTGTCCTACCACTTCCATTTTTACTCCCTTCTAATCTATCCTTTAATGCTATGGCCAAATTTTCTTTTAAAAACATAAATTGGACTACTTGACACCCCTGCTTAGAATGTTTCAGGGGTCCCTTACTCCAAATCCCACCAGCTCACCTGGCTTTGTAAGCTCTGGCCCTTGTCTGTCTCTTTAAAACCATCTTATTTCTCCTTCTCCCACTGAACTCCTGTTACACTGGTTTGTATTTAGAGTTTGTGATACACCAACCTTTTTCCACACTTCCCTCTGCCAGAAATGCTTTCCCTTTTCCCTTCTCATTGCATGGTTGCCTGTCTAGTCTTCAGGTCTTAGCTTAAATGTCACTTTGCAGGGGACAATTTTCAGAATCATTTAATTAATATGAAATGTCCTTACTCATGATATCACTGTACCACATTTATTGCCTTCATCAAACATATCATGATTTATAATTTACCTGTTTATATCCCCTTTTCCCACTTTAAATTCAAAGAAAGCAGAGACTAGGTTTTTAATTCACTTCTTTTTATTTTTTAAATTCATTTCTTAATACCAATGCCTATCAAAGCACCTACTCACCTACCAGAGAGTAGGTGATTAATCAATTATTTACTGAGCAAGTAAATGAATGATATTCTAAGAAATATCAGAATGTGGTGAATGTATATACTGGGCAGGGAAGGCTTATAGACAAAAGTGGTGAGAGAGAATTTACTTTGTTTTATTGGTAAATAGAATTCCCTGTTCTCAAAGCTTTTCAACTAAATTAATAGGGATGATAACTATAATGTCCTTCATCTGTATTAATCAGTCTGATTTATAAAGTGAATCTAAAAGTTAATTGTGTTCAACCTCTTCGAGTATCAGTTTCTTCATCTGTAATATAGGGATAATAACTGCTTACCTCATAAGACAGTAGTGAGGTTGCATTAAATGAGACAAAGCAATTAAAGCATCAAGAATAGAGCCAGCCACATAGGAAACACCTAACAAAAGTTAAATGTGGCTATTCAAGAATTGCTTTTAGAATATCTACTGCATTTGAAATACAGAGCTGAGGCATATAATAACATTACATTTGTTAGGCTTTCACATCTATGAAGTGGCTGGGACTGGTATTTTAGCCCATTTTAGAGGTAAAAAACTGAATCTCGAATAGTTGCCAGATGATAGAACCAAGGTCTGAACATAGTTTTCTGATTCTAAGCCAGTATTTATTTACTCTAAACTGTGAAATATGTATATTTATTACTTCTCTTAAAAGAATACAATAGAGTAGATCAACAAGCTAAAATGTGGTTCTTTGAAAAGCCAAAAATGAATAAACTTCTAGTGAGACTTATCAAGAAAAAAGCAACAAGGCAAATGAAACTAGTATCATAAAAGTGAAATGACCAGCACTATATATTTTTACTTCTCTTTTTCAAAAGCTACCTTTGATAAAATGTATATATATTTAAAAAGAAGACAAAATGAGTAAGTTTCTGTAAAACTTTAAAACATTTAAATGAAATGGAAAGTTTTTTAGAAAAATAAAATATAGCAAAGTTGATGCAAAAAGAAATAAAAATTATTTGACTTCTCATAACTGTTAAAAAAAATGGAACTAGAAATTAAAAACCTACCCAAAAGGAAGTGAAATCAGAAGGCTTTAGGGATGAGTTTTTTTGCAATAATTTAGAGGAAATCATTGTAACTTCATACAAACTCTTCCAGAAGACAGAAAAAGAGGGTATATTACCCATTTTATTTTAAGCAGTTAGGATAACCTTGATATCAAAATCTGACAAGGGTATTGCAAGGAAGTAAATGACAGGCCAGTCTCATTCACAGGGAAAGTTGCAAAAATCCTGAAGACATACCTATTAGCAAGTTAAATCCAGCATTGTAGGAAAAGAATAATATATGATGAAGTTAGATTTATCCCAGGAATGCAAAACTGAATTAACATCAGAAAACAGTCAAAGTAATTCAGCATATTAACAGATTAAAATTTTTTAAAATCTTCTCAAACTATTTGGAAAAAAATTTATGAAATTCAACATGTATTTGTCATAAAACATTCAGCAAACTAACACTAGAAAGCAATTTCCTTAATTTAATAAAGAATATCAATTTTTATTTATTTTTTCTTTCTAAAATACATTTGGATAAAATATCTATTTTTAAAAAGCTGTAAAAACATATTAAATGGTGAAATTTGAGAGCTTTTCCTTTGAGATTGGGAATTAGAAAAGGATGCCTACTGTCACCTGTTCTATTCAGCACTGTGCCAGCCAGTGCACAGATCACGAAAAAAGAATGAAAGGTTTAACATATGGAAAGGGAGAAAAAAAATTATCTTTAGATGATATGACTGCTTGCATAGAAAATTCAAAATAACATATACATAAATTATAGGAATAAAAAATTACGGGAAAGTTTTTACTAGAAAAGGATTACGTAAATTTTTATACATTTGGAAATGATTAGAAAATGATTTTTTTAAAGTTACCATTTATAATAGTATGGAAAATATCAGCACTTGTGAGTATGTCTAACAAAAGATATATAAGAAAATATAAATATTGAGAGAAATTAAAAACCTAAATACACGCGCTCTCTTCTTAGAGGATTCAATATTGCAAAATTTAAATTCTGCCCAAATTGACCTATAGATTCAATGTAATTCCAGCCGAACTCTCAAAAGGTTGTATGTGAATATGTGTGTTCTATGTGAGTTCATGCGAGTATGTGTTGTGGCTTAACAAACTGATTATAAAATTTATACAGGAACCCCAAACGCCTGGAATAGCCCAGATATGCCAGAACAAGGTAAAAAGATTTGATCTATCAAATGTCAATATTTATATAAAGTTAAAATTATCTTGACAGCATGGTATTGGCACAAGGGCAGACAAATAGAACAATGGAGCAGAATAGGGAGCTCAGAAATATACCACAATAGGCTAGGCGTGGTGGCTCACACCTGTAATCCCACACTTTGGGAAGCTGAGGCAGAGGGGTGGATCACCTGAGGCCAGGAGTTCGAGACTAGCCTGGCCAACATGGCAAAACCCTGTCTCTACTAAAAGTATTAAAAAATTAGCCGGGTATGGAGGTATGTGTCTGTAATCTCAGCTTCTCGGGAGCCTGAGGCAGGAGCTTGAACCCGGGAGGCAGAGGTTGCAGTGGGCTGAGATCATGCCACTGCACTCTGGGTGACAGAGTGAGACCCCATCTCAAAAAAAAGTAAATAAATAAAAAATACATACATACGTATATAGAGGATAATATAGAATAGCTTTATGACTTTGAAGTAGTAAAAAATTTATTAAACCAGACCCCCAAATCACTAGTTATAATGAAAAATAATGATTATTAAAATTCAGGCTGGGCACGGTGGTTCATGCCTGTAATCCCAGCACTTTGGGAGGCCAAGGCAGGCAGATCATGAGATCAAGAGTTTGAGACCAGCCTGGCCAACATAGTGAAATGCCATCTCTACTAAAAATATAAAAAAAAAATAGCTGGGCTTGGTGGCGGGCACCAGCTATCCCAGCTACTTGGGAGACTGAAGCAAGGAGAATTGATTCATCAAAAGAAATTTAAGGAGAATGAAAATGCAAGCCACAGAATCAATGTTTGTAATACATACAAAGGATTCATGTATTTTAAAAAAACTCTATAAATTAATGAAAAATTAAAATTACAGAAACAAAAATTAAATATGAACAAAATCTTGAACAAGCACTTCACAAAATAGAAACTCAAATGGCAAATAAATGTATAAAAAGCTGCTCAACCTTGTTTACAAACAGGCAAATGCACACTAAAACCACAAGGAACTACCGCTGTACATGTATACTAGGCTTGCAAACATTTTAAAGTCTGACGGTTCCAAGAATTGGTGAGGCTATAGAGCAATGGGAACCTTCAGACACTGCTGGTGGAAGAATTTAGGAGTTGAAATAATACATATGCTATGATAAAATAATTCCACTCCCAATTTCTTCCTAGAGGAATGTGTACTTATGAACATCAGGATACACATGCATGAATGTTCATTGCAGCAGTCTTTAATAAGTAGAAGCCACAAGAACAGAAAATGAAACACCGCATATTCTCACTCACAGGCGGGTGATGAAAAATGAGAACACATGGACACAGAAAGGGGAGTACTAAACACTGGGGTCTATT